TATCTTTATTTTTCAACAGCAATAAACTATCCAAAATAATCAAAGATTTGAACCACAGCGTTTAATAGTCAGCGTGCTATTTTCTAGTGTAGAACATCATGTAAATATGATATGCACGTGTATCGTGTATAATAAAGCATATTTTATAATGACTATATTTTATAATAAATAACAGCTTATATTTATTTTAAATATTTAAACTACAAGGTTAATTTTAATTTCAACGTTCTAAATTCTCTTTACATTTTTTAGGAAATAATTCTGTTGAGGAAATAATTTTGAACGTAATCACTATGTGTTGCACGATGTTATGTAAATCGTTTTGCATATTGTGATGCAATATGCGACGTTATCTGTTATTTGTTATGCCGGATTGAACGCTGATTATGCTTGCTAAACTATAAACGAAACTGATTTTGCACGATACTTATTCAGATTACCTCAAGATAGCACATTCCACATTTACTGGAAACGTGCAAGTTCTTTATGTGTAAGATACGTGTGTGTACGGATGGATGAGATAATGAGCAAGCGCACAAACAGACGTTTGTGGCCTTTATAGTAAATATAATTATGTTGTGTTATGTTGTAATGATACTTTTTTAATCATTTAACACGTGTGATTAAAAAAGTACTCTAATAAAGAGAAATAAAATCGAAGACATCTGCTGCACATATTTTACACATGTACGGACTTATCCTCATTTAATACATGTATATTAATAATCGCGAATATATATTAGCTCACGTTTGGAGAAGCAAATTAATTGTCATATTGTTGATTGTTGGCAGGTTTCCACGGTTCGAATCGAGTATGTTCGACGGTCAATACTCAACACATAACGACGATGGACGATGGAATTACATGTCGCGGTCCTTAGTCAGGGTGAAGACTTGTGATACGCTTGCGCCGTTTTCCAGCTGATTCGTATCCGCGAGAAGGAGAAGGTTCAACATTGCGAAACTTGCGTGAATCAGAGAATCTGAGGATCTGAGAACGAGAACAGTCTTGCGTACATTCGCTATTTGGCATACTTGGCATACGCGGTGTTTCTATCGGATTCGCAATATTCACAGACAATGCAACTAGATTGACGGGTAAGATTTGCATTAATTTAATTTACATGACATTGTTTATTAAGATCAACCTACAACCAAAGATATGTTTAAGAGTTAATAGATTTAAAATCAATTTGCTTTCTTGTTGAGGAAAAAATTAATCTTGTATTAAACATTGAATAACGGTATGTGATATCCTTCTATCTATGAATTCTGTATCATGACAAACTTCTGAAAGTGAAAGGCAGGATTTGAGAGCGATGATTTTTTTTAAGCGACGTATACGTACTACGTACGCGGACATAAATTGCATCATCAGCGGGAAAACAAATGCGCGACGTAGACATAAAAGTTGGTAACTCGCCAATCTGTAATTTGCGTAGCGATATATTTAGATCAACTGTATTTTTATGATGGTTGTTGCTCTGCAAATACCGGAGCAATCGAAGAAAAGTGCGGGGTGAAAGCCAGAGTTATCAAACAAACTACTTTCTAGTGAAACTTGAAATAGCTCACGTTACTGGTATGACATAAACTTTTACAACTTCCAAAACTGAAAGAAATGTGTATTAATTTTTCTTAATTTACCATTATATGACGATCGATTAGACGAATTCAAAGTGATACGAGTGTCTTTGTGAGGTGTTTTATAAATATATAAATTTGTGTCTTCTTCTTTTCAATGAGAAATTTTGTAACGTTATTATATTTTATAATTATTGTGCTATAACATAGCAAAACTGAATGTTTTTTCATGTAAAAAATTATAATAGGCAAAAAATAGTAAGTGACTTTGACCATTTGTGTTTATGAATTAAAAAACGTATGGCAGTACATTGACAATAAGCTGTTTCCAATCGAGTATTTGCATCTACAATACAGGGTGTTTTATTTTAATTTGAACAGAGTCAAATATCTCGATATTACGTAGTTAAAAAAAATGTTTCAGATAAAAGTTGTATAGTTTCAAGAGTATGCAATGAAAAATATCGGGGATTTTATATAAGAAATTGAAGGTGACCTTCACGTGACCTTGAAACGACTATCCAAGATTAAATCATTGCCACCATCTTACGTCTCCCTTGAAACCATACAACTTTTGTCTGAAAAATTTTTTTCTAAAGCTACGTGATATCGAGATATTTGACTGTTTAAATTAAAATGGGACATCTTGTATATACATACGAGGTGCGCGCGCGCGCGCACACCCACACGTGTTTCGCTAATAATTTAACATGCATGACTGTTTCATCGTCTGTCAAAATAACTGTTGGTATGTTCACACATATAGGTATTGGATTGCACAAACAATGTTCAATGTATGTATGTATGTACATAGATAACTTCTAATTTTACATATTGCGATTGCGTAATTAACTAATAATAAATTGATTTATATTAATTAAAAGTTCGGTGACAATCGATTTTTATTATACTTGGGCTTTTAGCATTTGTTGAAGTTTTTTTTTAATAATTAAATGTTGATTTAAATTTTTTATCTTTAAATTATTTATTAATACGTTTAATGAACTATGAAATAGATCAATATTGAGCCAAGTTTTTGGAAGTGAGAGAATCTTCCAAATTTTCTCAGAGAAAATAAGAGATTGATGACAGCGCTTTAAATTATTGATCGTGTAACGGACTGTAACGGAATATGAGAATACCCTATTCACCTATTATAATGATGCATGCATACTGTATGAAGCTGTACGTGATCAACTGCATGTGGAAAGATTCTTTCGGCTCTCTGATAAATGACGATTATTAAAATTCTTTAAAATGACGCTTATTAAAATTCTTTAAGACACAGATGTTTCCCTAATAAATGAGACTTGATTTTTATATATTATAAAACTGTTTTCCTTTTTTATAAAAAATTTCAACTTACACAGCAAAGTTATATTTACTGAAATCTTTGGAAAAATTGCTCCAACTCTTATAGATCAGATTCTCGATTGCGTTCGTCGAGATATTTGCGTTACAAAAATATCTCTTATATTCTTACGTGCTCGCCTGTGTATAGTGGGTCACGCGCACGACAAGCGTAAAAAAATTTCGGAGCTAAAATGAAGAACATAAGAATTTCGATATACATATTGGTAATATATAAATATATGTAAAGGCGATTGATACTTGTCATTGAATAGCGAGCGGATAAGTCGCGCACGATAACGATGGCGACGAAATGTCAGTCAAGGTCGAAGGTCGTTATATAGATAGGTCGAGCATAAAATTTCAGGTATTCCTCGAGGCAATGCGAGACGATCGATACTTGGTGTAGAAAGGCACGTCCCATGGGGTATAGAATTTTTCTGTCGTGAAAACGAGGCAACAGGGCAACACGTGGACTCACCTAGTTGTAAGTTGTAAATGAGGATTTGTGGGATGTGTGGGGACCGCGCGAGCGCTTGTTACAATCCACCTGATGGCTGGAGTGCGACTGAGAAAGACTACGCCAGCGGCCAGCCGTCGTCGTCGTCCGTCGTCGTCGGTCGTCGGACGTCGGTTTCAAAGTCTGATTGTGTGTTTATCACGCGCGTGCGCTTTAGCTCTTGTACACGGAGGGTGCTCAACTTTGCGACACGATTTATAACAAAGATAAGGCGGACGGAGATCAGCCGGTCGGATTCCGTCATACGATCTTAAACTACGGTCAAAGAACGAACGTAATACGTCTGTAAAATGTAATTGTTAAGTAATAATACGTTGAAAAAAAATTTATTTGAATAAGTATATGATATCGATATAAAATATTAAATAAAATGTAAAATTGCAAAACGATATATGTGTATACATGTAATTTGATCAATATTTTGGCTCCTTTATTATTATCAAATGTTTATTGAAAACAATCGCGATCACTAATAGAATGACACCGAATAGCATTTATATCTCATGGTCTTTGATTAAAAATACCGTTTTGCAAAAAAAGTTTTTTTGTGCGTCCGAGCAATTTTCTTCAACTAAAAGATTGCCGTATTATGTATTTCGTAGCACGCGCCTGTTACGTTACTGACGTATACCACGTGGTGATGAGTTATCCAGGAAGGAGGGCATTGGAGCATCACCGGGGCAGAGAGGATGACGACATATCGACCAGAGTAGACGGGCAAGTCCCCCTATATGAGAGCCTTGCATTGAGAACCGTTACTTTAGAGGTCAGTCAAGGGCACCTTGCTTAACATTTATCGAAACTGATGAAATTTCTCGCATAATACCGTCATTATCGTCGGACGTGCCTCCTTTCTCTCGATCACCAGATTGTATTATTGTTAAAGTGGGCTCGACCCTCTATTTTTATCTACCAGTGAATACTAACTGTGTAAAAGTGATGAGTTTGTTGGATTTTTCCATCGGGTCAATATCTTATCGATTTTTTATATTGTGTATATATATAGAGATATATATATTTGGAAGTGTTCTTAAAATTCTATATTTTATCAAGAATATGTGAAAATTACATACAAGAAAATGTATTGATAATAGTGAAATGCAATGATAGATATATATTTGTAGTCTATAATTTGTTTTTTTTGGGGGGGGGGAATCTTTTAATAAAGATTGTTTTATCATGAGACACTATTTAAGAAATATATTGTTGTAGCCGCATTACCTTTACTATCATATGCGCTAAATAATTTATCGTTATTTATAGCCAAACTTCATATACGTATCTGTGACTTTCGGAGATTTTAGAAGTGAAGAATTCTCGCCTAATAATAAATCATATACATTTTGTTGAAATAATGAAACTTGCACAATTTTATTTATTAAAAAAATGTCTTTAATAATTTAATTAATATACATATATTTAAAATACTTGTATTACGTTAATTTTTCTGGCGATTATAAAATTTTATAAAAGTATGTTCATATTATAACTACATATTAATCTACATATAAAGAGAGATAACTAAATATCTGTTTAATTCGATCGAATGCACAAGTTGTTCTCCTCAACCTGTAATTCTCCTAAAGATGCTTCGGAGCATAATTGAGCTCTTTTAAGAAACATTGCTTGAGCCTTATCCACGTTTTCCGAATTGTTTTTCCAAATTTTCATCGCCATATTCTAGCGAAGCAGATGATATATAAGTCAAACTTATGGAATTATGCAGAATTTTTTTATCAATTTGGAATAGCTTTCAAAAATTTGCTAAAGAATTTATATTATAGATACATATCAGAAAATACAATAAATTCAATTTAGAATAAAATGGGTTGAATGAATTTTTTAAACACCTGCAAAGCACGCCCATAGCAGAAACTAAGCCTCCATGGCTTTTTATTGTCACATGCGTTAATGGCATTTAGATTTAACACCGCTTCTTCGTCGGTTTGACCGCCGCTTAGAAAAAAAATTGCTGGAACTGCTGCGGGTACTGTTCTTCGTAATGCTCTTAGCGTATACTCAGCGACAATCTATAATTAAACATCGCGAGATAAAATGTTTGAGCAAATATACTCAATAAAAATTAATGTGGTTTTTAGGAAATTATAACTCGCTTTAATTATTAAAATAGGTTAAATGAGCTACCTGCGGCGTGCATTTTATTGCATTTTTTATGCCCGACAGCACCATCGCTGGCTTCAAAACCATTCCCTCAAGATACACGTGATACTCGTTCAGAGCACGAAACAGGATGGACAGCATCTCTTCGTGAACTTGCAAAGCCCGATCTATACCGTATTTGCCATTGCTCAATATCTCCGGTTCTACTATGGGAACCATTCGCGCGCTTTGGCAGATGCTAGCAAACCTGTATCGAGACACTTGAAAATATTTCGTGTTACACAATGGAACTCTATATCTTGCGCTATAACTTTTTACACATACATATATATGTATATACTTCAACGATCAAATGCCAATTGTAAAAGTTTTATATCCATGTTTAATAATAATTATATGTATATTGTAATTGTTTGTGAAAAATATGTGCAAAAATTTATACGAGCTTCTGTCAGTCGCGCGCGATACATATATAATTAAGTTTCCATGAATATTAAAATGATCATAGACCTCGCAAGAACATTTGCATTGGTGATCATTGCCAGGTGACTGGGGCATCGTTCCGAAATCGAAAAAACACATCTCCATTTGGCGAAGTGGCAGCCTTCCTTTTTGTACCGAACACAATTCTCCTGTAAATTGTCCAAACCTTGCGTAGTCTTCTCGTCCTCAGTACCGAAGAGACGCACTAAACCTCGATCGACTTTCACACCGACTATGATGTTTCTTCGACGCAGGAACTCGACGAATTCCACATCTTCCGACGTTCTTTGATGGATCGTTTCATGGTGCAGAATCACCCCGCTTATGTATTGCGAGAATTGAGACTGAAGTTAAAAGTACATATATGCAAAGTTGTTAAGTTAATTGTTTTTTTTTTTTTATTAGGTATATGTTTGTATAATAAATATTTGTAAGTTTGAAAGAAAAAAAAAATTTTTTTCTGTTAGATGAAACATTGCTTGTATTGTTACGTGTTATACACATACATATGTTCTTGAGTTACTACTACGATTATGAAGCTATATTTTTGGAATCTGTTGCGTTACGTCTTTGCCGCGGTTTAAAATTTCTACTGCCATCACGTGCAGCGACCTTGTCAGCGGACAACAGCATTTCTCGATAAGCACGTCTCGTAGATTCGGTATTATCTATACCGATTTCCTGAAATCTCTGTTCTAGACTCGCAGGTGACTCGTCACAGGCCAACAATCCTTTTTTAGGCGCACTGATCGTCTCGATGATTTTTTCTAGTTCCAGAGATAGAGCAGGATCGAGTTCGGTGCATTTGGTGACGGATGATGATATCTGACATGTTTCAACGATCAATATTGATCAAATCTTTGTACGAGCAAACCATTTAGAGATAAAAAAACTAATTAGAAAAGTAGCTTTATGTACTTTTAATTAACTACTGTGTGCCACATAGTGGGGTAAGTCAAATTTTTTAAAATATTGACTTACCCCACTATGGCTTTTACCCCTCCATATGTATATATAATACATACAGAAAAAGAGTGTGACAAATATAATTAGTATAATGTACATAATTTAATTGGAGATATTTTTAACCATAATTATAAATCTTGTCTTCGTTTCTCTCTTTTTCTTAGTTGATATTTTAAAATTTTAATGCATCGAATATGTTCGACTTAAATGACTACAATTACGTAATGGCATTTATTGATGATCCGGTGGCTCCGATTACCGATCTGCAAAACAGTCTAAAGGGTAAAATAATATTCATTTTGTAAAACAACTTTATAACAAATAACTTATGCACAAACAACTTATAATATAAATGTGCTGATTATAAAGTTGTTTTGCAAAACCAAATTAAATCAAAATCTAGCACAATTTTCTTTTTGTTAATTTGTGAACTTTGTTTTAATTTTATATTAAATTAAGCATGTGTGACAACACTTATTACAAAATATACTTACTGCTCTTTAGAAAGAGAAAAAATCAAAGGAGAAGAAAAAAAATTGGCTTCTATAATTAATTATTTTCAAAGCATGCATTTCTAATCCTTTTAAATTGTTAACATAATATGACGTTGTTGTGTGTGTGTGTGTGTGTGTGTGTGTGTGTTTGAAGTCTCGGAAGGTGAAATGAAACATTGCTTATATGTATTAATTATTATTATAACATAGTAAATATATAAAGTAATAGTAGTAATAATATTTTTATTTATTACTATTTTTTTGCGTTGTAATTCCTGCTGCGCGTAAATATTATATAATATATATAAATGCTTTTTGTATTTTTAACCATAATTTTTATATAATACCAAATAAAATATATAATAATTGAAAATTATATGTATAAATAAATTAATATAATAATAGTATGTGACAATAAAGCACAAAATCATATATTAATTATGGTAGAAATTTACATTATATGTTTAAACGATAAAGCTAGATTACTTTATCTTTGCAGCAACAATTTGTTCCCAATTGCATCATTTTTCACTGTCAATCGATATATAATATACTTTTTAATTTAATCAATCAAAATATCCGATATATTACGTATTACTTATAAATTTATCAACATAATCAAAACATTATAAACAAACATTGAGAGATTTTCAATGTATGTACATACTACATATAACATATAACATACATAATTGAATTAATTATTAAAATATATCGAAGTAGCTTAGGCATCTATAGCAGCTTTCACACAATCGAATTTTTTAGAAATCGAAGCAAGCGATACAATCGATCAAAATCGTATAACTCGATTACAAATAATTATATTCACTAGGAGTAAAGCACTTTTAGAACGCCATATTGATAATGTGAAAAACGCGCAAAATTTAATTTTGTAAAATATCTATTTATTTAAAATATTTAAAGCGTTAAAAATGGAAGAGATTATAATTCAATATTAATTAAATATGTAAGAATTTTTTAGTGTAACATATCATTTACATCCATTGTTTTCTACACTTCGCAAGGCGCGCTTATGATCTTTGGGTACTGGGAACCTTATAGGAGTTATATGGTAGAATCCATTGCCAACAGAAAGACTCCGGAAAAGGTATGATTGTGCTTGAAAAACCCTAAATAAAGTGAGAGATGAGAAGCAGTCTTGCGCGTCCGCGTCCGCCGCCTGCCGCCCGGCCGTCGGCCGTGCCGCCGTTTCAAGTTTTCGAAACGGAACGATGGAGATCGAGTAGATTGGAGTAGACGAAGATGGTTAGAAAATAATGAACAGGTAATTGCTTAGCGCGTTTTGGTCAATTGCCAATCCTTCAATCGACAAATATCGATAAATGAGAAAAAGATAGATTATTATTTGTTTGGCGTGATAATTTTACGTGACAAGACGTAATAATCGGCGAACATGACGGAGGAGGTTAGATTTTTGTAACGTATTGTAGTAGGTAAACACCGAAATTTGCTGGGAAAGCTAAATCTTTTGTGGCTTACGGATGATTGTGTTATGACATTGAAGTGAACATGTTTCATCGAGAATAATGGACTTTGTATTGATAGAAGAAATGGATTAATCTTGTAGATTCGACCACGTGAAATAGATGATTTAATTATCATCAAATCATTTACTTTAATGGATTTGATTCTATAAGATTTGCTTTAAATAAAGTTTCTTTTCGGTAGATCATTGATACGATGAATAATCTGGGGAAACCTGCTATGGAGACAGAGTCATCGGACAAAGGCAAGTTAAAGAGACGGTCGGTTTCTTCTTCCAACAATGATTCTGAGAAGAACAGAAAAAGACGATATGTATGCAGCAAGGATAAAAGACAGAAATCGAGACGTAGGAGTAGTTCCAACACTTCTAGTTCTTCTTATGTTTCAAACTCGGAGAAAAATAGATATAAAGCAAAGAACAGTAGAGATGAGGATGTAAAGCACAAAACTAAAAAGTATGAAAATAACACAGAACAACAATTGCAAAGAAGAAGTGGAAGATATAGTAACGATTATAGATTCTACAATCGGAGGCCCGGAGGTAACTTTTTGAATAATCAAAGAGATTATGGCTATTCACGACCTTACAGATATCACGGTTATAATAGAAATAGAAGAGATATACATAACAATTACCATTATAATAGATATAATAGCAGATGCTTCGAAAGAACATTTAATCATAACAGATCGAGGGTATCGAGTTATTATAGAAATAGTGGCCACGATGCGACTAGTCAGCTCTCGCGAGAAAGTAGTTCGAAGGAGCATGCAAATCGATCAAGATCTATCTCTAAGATAGAAAAATCTGATTCAATAAAAGATAACACAGATACAGTTGAACCAGTAAAACAGAAAGAGAAGAAAACAGAAATAACACAACATATAACTCAGCCAAGTCGCAAGAAATTAAAGAGGAAAAGGTTGTCGTCTGCATCTAGTTCGTCTAGTGTCAGTAGTAGCAGTAGCGACAGTAGCAGCAGCAGTTCCAGCAGCAGCAACAGCACTAGCAGCAGCAGTAGCAGCGATACTGACAGCAATAGCAGTAGCAGCAGCATTGATAGCTCAGAGGACGAAAAGAAGCAGAAGAAAGCCAAGAAGAAGGCTAAGAAATTGAAGAAGAAAATGAAGAAACGGAAGAAGAAAAAACGGATGAGGAAGAAATTGAAAAAGAAACTAAAGAAATCTGCATCCAAGAAAAAAGGACACGGTAAGAAGAAGTCTAAGGAAAATAAGCAACAAGTTCAAGATGGCAAGGAAAAAATGAAGGAAATTGTATCGGATGTGATAGAAAGAGCGAAAGCCATGGCGCCCATGACAAAAGAGGAATGGGAAAAAAGACAGACCATCATGCGTAGAGTATATGACGAAGAAACTGGAAGACACAGGTAAATATGTTGCAAAGCAATTGAATACAGATAATGAAATATATAATATACATAATATATGTATATATATATATATATATATATATATATATATATATGTTCTTGCTTCTAAATTTGTATATGTCTCTTTAAATAATTTTTGTATTTTTGCATAGATTAATCAAAGGTGACGGAGAAGTCTTGGAGGAGATAGTGAGCCGAGAGCGCCATAAGGAAATTAATAGACAAGCGACCAAAGGAGATGGCAAATACTTCCAAACACACTTGAAGATGAACGCTTTGTGAGATATGTATTTTTGTGCAAACAAAAACAAAAAAAGCATAATTATCCTCTTTACAATACATATATATAAAAAAAATTAGGTGTTACATAATAAATATCTATATATAAGTTATGTATATATATATATGTAACTTATATCTTTCCTTGTCACATATAAATGTTGCTGTCTGATATCATAACATGTTTTGTATTGTATTGCGATTTTGAACATTTATTTAAGGGCACACTTAAATTTGTTATGTATTATTACAATCGTAATTCATGCGGGTCACAGGAAATTAGATTAAGTTTAAATTTTTTTTATGATATTCTCTTATATTATACATATAATTCAATGTATCGGAAATAATAAAAATTTTTATATAGGAAATCTTTTTTTTTATTTCGTTGAGAAAAGTAAAATGAATTAAATTTACCTGCATTATAAAATAATAACTTAGAATGAAAAAATTTTTGTATTTAATATCAAAAAGAATATAGTATACTATGTATATTTTTTGGATAACAATTTATGTCGATAACGTAAATTGTCAAGTTTTCGTTAGATGATTATCATTGATTGATTCTACGTGTTTCACAAGATGTCGATACAGTCTATATTTGCCTCTAACTCCTAATCTAACCTAACCTAACCAGACAATAGTAGCAAAACATATAAGCTCCAGTTCAAACTTTTTCATAGGTATTCATATTTTCACGAATTTTTAATATCAAATATAATACATATATGTTGATTGCGATTGTTTTCTTATGAGGAAATCTTAATTTTCTTTGTAGTATTCTAATAATTTCTAATTCAATTTAATTTAGATGCTCTATCATCTACTGCAACTATAAAAAATTTATTTTTAGTAACAATATAATTTTATACGAAAAGAGATTATCTAACTATAAATAACAGAGAGACTTACTTTTACTACTTTGACAATTTTATTTGCGTTAATTTTTTTAGGCAGGACGAGGAATTAGGTTTAGAAAATAAGTAAATAAAGTTGTATTATACATATTAGGATAACATTCTTTTCGTTCAATTTTTAGGTGCATTTGCTTTGCTTATTTGTTAGGTATGTTTAGCCAAGTTTAGCTCTTGTGGCCTGTATATTTTATGCTGGTACGTATCTCTTCATCAGTCATTTTCTCCATATTCATTTTTACAATGGACATCAGGGTATGACACGTCCATTTTTTACCACGTTATTATCAACAAATACTTACACCGCATTTACTCGAAACCCTTCACTTTCATTCTCTCAAATTTTAATATTTTTTTGATAAAATCTTATCACTTAAAATAATCTGTATTGTTGTGTGAGATAAAAGTTTATAAATTTATAATTTTATATGCGAATATATATGTATATTGACGCATATAAAAATAAAGATTTGTCCTTGTTCAGTATTAGAGCTAGGAAAATTGCGCGGTTGACTTTTTTAGCTGGCAAATCATTTTAAATAATCTTCACAATATCTCGCTTGTTTGAGGCAGGAGGTCCTATCACGCGGTGTTGGAGTTGTAATAGTGGATCCGTTCGCTACGCGAGAGATACGCGTACCAATAGAAAAGATTGATGGTCAGGAAAAACAGGGGAAACATTACACGACTGACGCGGTCAATCTTCGATACCGAGTTGTATCTGGGAGTTCGCCGACGTCGTCTTCTGGACGCGGACGACGTTGCTCGCTTGGATGACGGCGGCTGTGGCTGTGGCTGTGGCGGCATTTGTCGCGGCGCGGGCGGTGGGCTGCAGGTCATACAAGATATTTGCCAGTGCCCAGGCACCGCTGGATCCCTATCGGGAATCGAGATCGCTGACAATGGTATCACTTCGATCATACTGTCGCCATTTATCGCCAAGTTGCGATTGCCACGTCCTCGTGTAGTAGAACTCGCGGAACTCTTCCGACGGGCCTAAAACAATATTTATGGAATGTTATGGAAGTTGAAACTTGGAACCATTATTCTCTCTCATTCCCTGCGTTGGAACTAAACATTTCAAGTTATACCATGATATTACTTGGAAATGAAAGGTAGAATGTTCTAAATCTGATAGAACGTTATTTTCTTGTCTTTTTTCAATTTATATTTAGGTTTTATTGATTCAATATTCATGCCTCTTTCTCTCTCTCTCTCTCTCTCTCTCTCTCTTTCAGCATTTATATTTGTTCTTGAAAAAATAGGAAGAAATGAATAAATTTCTCGCTTCTTTTTAATCCAAGAGCCTATATATATATGATACAATATATTTACCGGTTGATTTTTTATTAGTCTTCTAGTTACATCTTCCTCTTCGTTTGAACTTTCAGTATCGCTTAGATCAGAAATAAAGTAACACTCTCCCGATCCATACTTGGTGAAATAATGCACCACTGCAAATTGTATTATAGTAGCGAAGATGAACGCGAACGAGAGAAAGACGAAGAAATCCAGAGCAGTGGGATAAGGAACTTTAGGCAGGTCGGTTCTCGCTTCGAGTCCTAAGAATGTCATTGTTAATACAGTAGTTATGCCTGAAACAAGATGTAACGTGACAATCGAACTGTGCAATTATAAATTCTAGAACAGTAAGCTTATCTTGAATTTTAGTGAATAATAGGGAAATACAATAATTACAGTTGTTTATTTAATTTCAATTATTACATCCGGATATTCAATTTGCAAAAGTCCTTCATTATTATTATTCTTTTATTATTTGTTGTTTTATTTGGAAATTCTTTGTCGTATTTCGATAACATTTTCGATAACAAATATAACATGATAAATAGCTATTATAAATATAGAGTAAAATGGCACTTGATAAGAAATTTGAATTCTGCAACAGTAAAGAGATTATTATATATAATATAAGTTTTGAAAATTTTCAGACCAGTCAATGTTTATTACACAATGTCTGATTAATGATATAAATTAAAAAAAAAGACACATTACTCGCTTGATTTTCGTTACAAGAAAAGTTATAAGTTTAATAAAGCCAAAGAAATTATATTAGCACATTTGCGTTGTTGTGGTGTTGAGAAAGCGTTGCATATGTTAAATTATGCGGCTTGTGCATTTTCACGCTTGCGGTTTAGCATAGATCCCTTTTGATGGATTTTGCTCGCACTGCATTATATTCTCTTACACACGTTTACCGTACACATATCTGTTGTAAAAGTATGATAAAATCCATGTTTAAGGTAGATCGTATGGTAGATTGTAACACACACGGTGGAGGTTTCAAAGAACACTTAAATTATTAATAGCAATGGAATAGCTGCTCTTACCTAGCGACACTCGGTCGGCGGTAGCTTCTCTGTTTAACCAGAATGAGACCCAAGACAAGACGACCAGCAGGACGCAAGGACCGTATACCTGTATTAGGAAGTTACCCATGTGCCTTTGTAAATGGAAGTACACCAAGAGCATCGAGTATTCCGCTGAAATATATTTGACATATATTTATAAGCTAAGAATAACGTGCTTTTAACGTCGCTATATATATACTTTTACCAAATTAAAAGAAATTTAGATGATTACAAGTGATTACGTCAAGAGATTTAAATACAAGACACGCAAAAGTGGCTTAGACAAGTTTAATTTGTAGTTGTATCATTGCATGCTTAATAAATCAACAAATATAACGCTGATTAACTACATATTTCTGTAGAGTACAATATTTTAAAAACATTTGTATCTTTGTTTATCGAAGGATGGACTGCCAGTCCCGCACTCTTCCTATTCATCGATTATTTGCACAAACTTCATGATATTTTATTACTAGAATAAAATGTAATTTTTATCGCGACGAAGCATCATGTCGGAAAGCAATTGTTGCTATAATGTTGTTGTTTAAAATTATTATAAGAATATCTTTCTGGGTCGATGTGACTTGACGATTTTAAGCAGATTTCCTCGATAAGTTCTTCCACAATCAACTCAAGAGGCAGCCGCGGCGTTTGTCGTTTACTAATCGATAATACAATAATTCGATCAATTAAAATTTGCCGACAAATTTATGTAGTACCCAATCTTCTGCGCTGCTCGCCTACACGAACGGACAACGAAAGCTTAAGGAGAGAAAGAGAGAGGTAATATAGTCGCCTTTTAGAGAAGGCTGCAATTAGTCGTCATTTCTATGCGACTTTCGACGCTACTTTTACCCTTCCTTGACCGAATTTTCTGTAGAGTTCCCAATTTTCGCGTTAAGTTACTTTAATTCATTCGCTCATCATTTGCTACTTACTAACTGTAAGTTGTATACGTATATGTATATTAAAGTTGGATTTTTATCGACGTCTTAGCACTATATTTACTTCTCTGATTCTCAATTGCCATTTTCTGCTTCTTTGTACTAAATGTACTAAATTCACAGCGCTAGAAGAAATATTGATAAGCCGTATATTCTTGATCTCGTTTGCAGGCGGTCTCATTGCACTTACCATGCGAGAAACCCGGTGCGGTCGAATGATTTGCAGTGGGATTGGCGACCAGATCAAATTGTGACAGCTTCATATCCTCTGCTATAGCGACTTGCCTTGCGCTGTTCCACTTGTAGATTACATCGCGTGTCGTGTAGCCGACTGTAAGTGGATTAATTTCGCATTGCCAAAAAGATCGTCGTATCGTCTCAAATGGTAGCTGACAATCGAAAATTGCACGCTTGGCTTTCGCTGCTTCATTATTTAAAATTTAAATATACGATTTTATTTAAAAATAAAAGAAATAAGTAAGAAAATATATAATAAATTTGATATCTATTGATAAATGTAATTAAACCTAATTTTCATGTATAAGTACGCTAAATGTCGCATAATTTTTTACGATATTAAAAATTACACAAGAAACGAATAAGCCTGCATGATCCCCGTTATTTTATTGATCCTCGAAATCTTTCTATCGCAGATTGCTGATACAATCCGAATGTCGCTGAAGGAAGGAAGCAGAAGCGAAAAGAAGAGGAACGATAAAATATCTTTGAGAGTCACGGAACAAATAAATTTACTAAACTCACAGCTGCCGAATTGCAGCGGACATCTTTGTGTATCCATTGGAAAATCTTCGAGATTCATCGGACATCCTGCTTTAATCGTAAGTCTGAAACGACATAAACAATTTAACACAAATTTTGGAATGCTATAATCTCGATACGTATAATGTATAACAGACTATAAAAAAACATCTGCAACTGATTTTCGATTAAATTTGTTGTCGTTATACAAAATTCTATTAAAATTAAGTAAAATTAAAATTGTAATCACTTATAATTCGAAAGTCATATATTAAGAACAAGTTTAATTTAAACATTCTGTATATTAAATGAAAATAGTTGTTTACTACAGAAATCTTGTCATTCATTTTACGCAATATTTCAATTTTCAATCAGTTTGAACAAAATTTCAATAATATTATGTATTATACTTTGCTTGTGGTCAAATGCAAATGCAAAACGCATAAGAGATTAGTATCGTAAATTGTTTTGAGTTTCATTGAATTATCACCCTGCGTTTTAATTTCGGTAAAGTTAAGATCAAAAGAGATAAAACGATCTATGGATTCATCACTTTGGTACTTCAACAACTCGCTTTATCGTTAAATTTACAGCAGGTATGCGTTTATTTTTATACCTTCACATCTCATATCGTGAGAGCGCACGACAGCTCAACTTCCGTTATATCTCGCAATTTTTTAAGGATTAAAGTTTTATTTTTGTTGTTTGTTATATATTTAGTAAAAAATTCTATAATATTTGCATGCGTTTAACATAATAATATGGAAAAATTGCGAGAGTTTAAGAATATAGATCATGAAAAAAAGACAAGAATTCCCTTTTACTGGAGTTTCGGATTTAGGCTTTTTTTTAAGTCACAGATTGAATATTTCTCTTACATATCTCGACATTCTCGACGGCACGAAAGGTGTTGCGAGATTGACCGCGTTTTGCTGAAGATAGACCTCGGGCAATTTGCCTCGAATGATTTTCGGGTACCGTGTCAGTATATAGGGACTGCTTTTTAATCCCGGTAAAATCAAATTCAGCAACAGACTTGTTGAAGAAAAGATTCCCGATTATTGAGGTACTAATCTGAACTTTATTCCGAATAAAGCGCGAACAAATGTTGTTGTGGCTGTATATTTAATCGAGTTTGATTTAAATTATTTACATATATTGATATTCAGCTTCTGTTGAGTTTTGTTTTCTGTAATTCCACTTTTTGAAAAAGGCACGTTATTAATTTATTTTTTATCGAAGAATTGAGGCCTTTTTGCGCGATGTTGATTGGTTCTCTCGCTTGGCTTCGTACTGCGAGAGTAAGTAACTCATAAATGACAGATTATTATATTATAGATTGATTTTGGTTATCTTGATGCGTGTATGCGTGAATAAGTAAATATAATAGTCGAGAATAAATGGCGCGCGCTTTATAGTGTCTAGTTTACCTTAAATATTGAGTGATTGTTGACTTTTTATTACATTAGATATTATAGATGATCAGAAGTTTCTGAATTTATTTGAAATATTGATAATAATTTTAAGATAGTCTTTTGATGTGTAGAATTTACAGTTTCGTTAAGATTAATACTATTTACTCTGTCGAATTACTTTGCATCGTGATATTTGTTATAAAAGAATTGTAATTTTAGAAGTACATTATAATCTTAAAATATGTAAGTATTTGTTATAATCAAAGAGAATTAATTAACTTTCTGCACATTATGGATGGTTAAATATATTTTGAAAGTTTGAAATGATACATTTTGTACAAGACACAACGAGAGGTTTAAAGTTGTGTTCTAAACTTACGTAGGACACGCATTATACAGATGACTGTTCTAATGAGACTCATAATTCTACGTTACAATAAACATTCTCTTCTCTCTCTTTCTCTCTCTCTCTCTCTCTCTCTCTCTCTCTCTCTTTCTTTCTTTCTCTTTTATTTCCTTGACAATATCGGTGAAAAGAAGCAAAAGTTTTATTCCTTTATAATGACAAGTTTTCTCTGCCTCATGAATAATGACGATTACGGTCGAAGGAGCGTGAGATAAAACCAAGTCGAATGGGATGAGATTAAAAGAATGAAGAAAGACTAACTTTTTTCACGGATACGCGAGAAAAGAATTAACCGAGCGGTAAACTTAAACACGGCCCTAAAATAAATAATTCAGGATAATTTTAAAGATAGCAATGGCGCGACGACAAGTTCTCGATTCTTTTGGTAAATTAAAAAAAAAATTAAAAAAGGTAGATAAAAAAAGAAGCGTTGTGAAGGAAAAATCAAAGCATAGAATGGAAAACAGTAGTAAGTATAGTAGAAGATCCATATACAATGGTAAATGATCGCAGGATAAATCAGATTGTAATAACATTTAGTTGCAATTTCAATAAAGCACAATATAGTAAGAGCGAATGTCTTTTGAGACATTTATTCTTGAAGAAATTAATAAAATAAACGGATTAAAATTTATATAAGTATACATTTTTATTTAAGCATAAACTATCGTAAAAAACTAACAATGTTGTCAGAAATTTCTTTGCTTATCGCTTGAATGCTCTGAAAGATATGAGTTAGACTTACAATTTCTCGGGTAAACATTCGAATGACAAAAGTTAATCCGAAAAGTTGATCCGAATAGACGTTGTTCAAGTCAAAGGAAAAAGAAAAGCAAAAGTCACTCTCGAAAAGTTTCTCGCCATTCAAGCAAGAATTACAGAAGAGAAGTGCGGCTTCTCAGTTGTGCACTATTATACGTGTATATGTATATATTGAACGATATTTTTTTATCTCACAACAAGCTACGACCGCGTTTTGAACGATAGTTTCTGGATTAGCAATTAACCGATGTTTACGAGATATAGTCGCATCTTTACAGAATGCAAAGACAAGTTTAGTTATTTTTTCACAAATGTTCTTGAGTTCTCGATTTATCGCTATACGAGTATATATATAATTATATATATAATTATATGTATGTATATATTAACAATTTTTGTAAAGGCTTTACGTCTTTCGTTTGCCATTTCAGAGATATAGACGAAATTTCGGCGTATTTCAAAGGAAGGATCTATCGATCGATATGGAAAGTAAAAGAGAAACAGAGAGGGGGAGAGAGAGAGCATTTGCACGGTACAGTGTACACTTCATGCTTGACATACTCTCGCGAAATTGAATCTCTCTCTCTCTCTCTCTCTCTCACATTCTCCCTCTCTTGAAAATGCAACGGGATACTGCAACTCATACTTCCGATCATACATGCATTGCGGCCCGTCTTCGATGCACTTCTTGATATGATCCAAAAGCTCTTTTTAGACTAGATCATCTCTACTTCCCTTTCTCTCTCCTGTATTTATTTCGTCAGTTATTAGTAATATGCATTTATTTGCTTGTTTTCGAATTTTTGAATTATGATAATGTTGGTTCGTTGAGAATGTAAATAAAAAAAATGGGTTGCTGCCACAGTAATCCCGCACAAGACTCGCTCGAAAGTCTATTGTATTAAATAACAATAAAAAGTTTATATTATTGTTCAAAATATAAAGAAAATGAGTATTGACGGATATACAATTCTTGATCAGTCTGATAATACGTAACGTTGCATATTAATCGCGAGATTCCATAAAACAACTAGGTGTTTGCAGTGGCATTAATTTAAATGCAAATATCACAATAGTACTTGACCGCGGCGTTCGTAGTTACAGGTGCAGAACTTGTATGTATGATACAGTCTTGATTTTTCATTGCTATAACATGCGATTTGGTTAATTCTAGGTTTTAACCGCAAGTCAGAATAAGAATTAATTCCTTTTTCAACATACAGAATATCTAGTACTTTATGCGATAAAAAATTGCGAAATAAAAATTGGTAAAACTATGACAATTGATTCAATTTAGTCAAGTTACAGCCAATTATTAACATTTAAATGTATCATCGGTATGCTATTTGGAATTGATATTTGAGAGAGAGAGTGAGAGAGAGAGAGAGAAATCAAATAATTCTTTTTCCTAAATCTAAAAATCTATAGATATAAATTTATAAAAATTAAATTTATAAACTTTATCTTCTTTTCTGTTTTACTACCTGCTAATAATTCCATTTACTATTTATTATTATAACTTTTTATTTTATAAACATAAAACAACACTAAATTATTATATTAATAAAAGAATTGTTATATTTGTAAATTTACAATACTTTTATTTTTCAATAAGATACTAACTTTGGGAACGAATGTTATCATCTATAGAACACGAATCAAGATTGAGATAATACATAATAAAATAATTTTTTTCTCTCTATGTAGTGCAAATAATTTCGTGTTTAAACGTCAGACTTGATAGATCAGCAGCAAATTATGCGAAGCTGTTAATATTACATGTATTATTATAATAATATCGATAATATATTATAGATATAATGTATATCTCCAAATATGATTTGTTTTTTATAACTTGATCAGAATTTATCCATTAGATTTCGAAAATACCGAAATCAGCGAATCCCTATTCTCCCTGGTTTAAATAAATCTCGATGGTCGATAAAAGGCAGCGACTAATAAAGTATCGAGTAAATAACACCACGGACGTGATCACAACATTTTCCAGTCCAAATGGGTATGGGTTCAGTCGGTCAGAGAAAAATATATATAAGACCTCGTTTTTCAAAGAAACTGCATTTTTTAAGATGAGACAGCAATATAAACTGCTGTATAAAATCTGCCCTTTTTTCGACTTGTCAAGTTTTCACAGTTTTCATGTAATTATCACGATAGATAGCTGGTATTCTTATTATACACTTCACTCGATTGTTATTTAAAAAATTTTTTGGCTGTTACAAATTGTGATTAGCAAACTTAATATTAAACGAATAGTCAAGTATATAGTTTTCTCATTAAAATTATTTATTTTTCCAATTGTGAAAAGAAGCAAGATATAATGGTAGCAAAATCAATAATTTTATCTTATTAATTTATAACGTAAAAATATGGAATAGTAAGGGGCTAAATGGAAGAGCGCTTATAGATTTTTCACTCTCTTCCTTCAAGTTACATATCATACAGGCTACTTTGTTTTTTGTTATTGATATAAATCAAATACAAGTACAAAAGGAGTACTGAAGCGATACAACCATCTCCTTATTGTTAATCTGTTCCCTTTCTCTTGACCTAGTCTTCTGGATCTATTGTGTACGGCAGAATTAACCCTTGAGTTCGAGATACCTCAGACCTTGCATATGTCACGTTGCCGAGAAAAGATTTGCAGAGATTTGGTGTCGAGCGAATACTGACATACTTGCTTAAAATTCTATCTTACGTGCACGATCTCTATTTCTCCTTGTTAAAAAATAGAGATTTTGCATTACTAACAGATATGTCAGCGAATAGAAATCAAAAGGAATATCAAGTCAAGTTGATTTTTTATTTTTAAATTGATTTGCAATATCTAAACTGTTAATCTCCCTTAATTTTACACAATTTTCAAAACCATATACATAGTTAAAATTTATCCGTAAGTTGACAGAGTACAATTGTAATATGTTCGATTACATGACTTTTCGAAAGAGAAAAAATCTTTATAAGCGATTAGCAATAATAAGAGATAAAATTCAGATAAAGTTCCGATCTTCTCCGATCATAAATCTCAGACATTTTTGCAATAGACATCATTACGCTTTTCACGATTTTCTTAAAAGAATATTTTTATGGTAATAGAGGTAACATATATGAGACGACAGAAAGACTAAACCTTTCGCATAATTATATGTACTTCAACCCAAAATAAATTTAACATGATAAAGCACTGAAGGTACGACAAGATTTTTTTGTATTGATACTGTTGATGTATCTTGATTACTGCGGCTAATGAACAGACGTTAAATAATATTCGAATGTTATAAATAATAATATAGAGATTCTTCCTTTTATTTTCCTCTTACTTTATACCAAGATTATAAGAAGTTTATTATTTTTGACACCTTGTAGTTATAACTTCTTAAAAGACAAAATTTATAAGATCTTTCATGGATTATGCATGGTTTTAATCTACGGAATCGAGATATTTATTGAAACATACCTGGAACTGTAAAGTACTCTGCCATTCTGATAAAGTCTGACGAATTTATTCGGGCTGGTGATCGTATGCAGGTAACTATGCTTGCCATTGTAGAAATACGTGTCGGGTTTCCAGATCCGTGCCAACATAGAAATACTCAGAGCGAGCGTCTCCTTACCACCCTGAAATGCTAAACGTCTGTCGACCCACGATTGTCGAAAGTAACAATCCATTGAGTACGTCTGCAGGAAATTTCAAATTTTGATTATAAACCATATCATCATTCATATATAGTCTATACATTTTAATAAATATGTACAAATCTACAATCGAGAATTTGACACGTTAATTAAAATTAGTTTTTCGAGTTTTTTCTATGTCGTTTAATGCTAAGGTGTTATTTTTATAATACATTATTTATTATATGCCAATTCCTGAATTATTTGAAATCGATTCCCTATATTATATACTCGCGTATACACAATTTAGGCAGATTCAAATTTTGTGATTGCCTGCGAGATAAACGAAAAATATGACTGACCATATCCATCTCAGAGATGGGACCCATGCTGCGTACCATAATATCGACCTCGACAGTGGCCGGGGGCCCGCCAAAGTCTGGTCTAATGCTATTGTCGTAACCGCGAAGTAGATTATCCAATAGGTCACTAATGTTACCGTGGTTGTTGCTTTGCGTCCGCTGTCTGACGGAAGTTCTTGCACCCGCGGCCACTCTAAAACAAGTGTCGTAATTTTACCAGCTAGCCGAGTAAATCGCGGCTTGATAAGATTAATTTTATTAATTGGAAGAAACACTCACTTTGTAACACGAAAATTCTACAGCGCGATGAAATACATTTATATGTTCTTAGCATTTAGCATTCTTAGCATTTAAAAAATAAATATTAATATTTTACGTCGTTCAGGTTAATATTTTAATTAATAATGATGAAAAAGCCGGCGTTTTACACACAAAAGATTCGAAGTGTACGCAAAGAGTTAAATTATATTATACGTGACACGTGACAAGCAAATTGATTGATTGATTGATTGATTTGCATTAATAACGTGCTAAAATTTAGCGGTTTCCGAGGGTGTGCAACTAGTCGGAATATCTTGCTTTTTTTAAATAACATGTTCCATATCTCATGCATATTCCAGTTTAGTTCTTTAGCTTGCGTTACCGATTCACTCTGCACACATATACGCGTACACAATACGTATGATAAATATGGAGTAAACCATGCTTAACTTTTGCTTACTCGGCCACAGAATCCTGAAATCTTGGTGAACATATCTCGATCCATATACCTAATACATACAACTGTACGCGTATACAGCTAGTGCAATTAAAACGGTCAAAAGTCATTCGGGAGAAAGCTAAATAAAGCTGGAATCATATATAATATTTACCGTATTTAAAAAACGTTAAAGCCGCATTTGCTTATCATGTGGTTCAATTTTCTAAATTTAAATTAAATTGTTTAGATTTATATTCCCAAAGAAATTGCACTATTTGTAGCGTTAATTAATTAATTAATAATAGAACTTTTAATTCAACTTTTCGCTTTAAAGTATTTGATTTGAAATTTAAAGAAATATTACAATTTTTAAGGAATTGTTTCCAACAATTCCATTGTAAGTACTTATTTCCAACAAAACGTAATTTTATATTAATTTTTATTGTTAATATACCTGCAGTTAATTGAAGTATTAATCTCATTGTAAGATTGACTGACAATGAGCAACATTATGGAGAAAAGATATCCGCAATGAATTTACATTAATTGTATTCCTTGATATAGCCGTTTAAATATAAAAATGGCCTTTGTTTAATGTTTAATGTATGCATGTAAGAAAGAAGACTTTCAATTATACGAATGAGTTATTCAAGAGACAATATAAGTAAGTGTGCTCTTGGATTTATTTGTCCTTTGTAAAGAAGACTGCATCGTTACACATAAACGAATACATAATTATTTACTTTATAAATCGTTTAACGAATTGCCGCCGAATTAAATAAATTCCGCATATAACTGACATCATTGAAATGCATAGGATAAAATATAACACAGAGTTTCTTGTAGATCGAACTTACAAAAAGATAGAAGTAATGAGATTGGCAAAGACGAGCAGGATTCTTGGCTTCATGATGTTAGCTTCGTGAGGTCGGAGTCTTACTTTCTTCGTGTATGAATTCGTTCGTCAGTTCGATTTAACAACAGGACCATTTGATATTTCGCACTATAGTAAACATCAATATAACATTAATAAGAGTTAAGAAAGAAAATCCTGCAACACGCATTATTATATAGCTTTTTTAATGAAATTTTATAAGCTTATATAAAAAAAATGAGATTAGAATATATTGGTAACGCAGTTACTAAAAGGTACAATTAAATTTAATAGAAATATGGTATACATATACACGGAAATATCGAGAGCTAGAAGATTTGGTTACCAATCCTATAAATAATACATTATAGGTGATGGCATCCGAGCACATAACGAACGTTTCTTTTTTTTAGCGGTAAACGAGATGGAAAATAACGGTGTGTATTTCGAGGTTTAATAACGCTATTGAATTTTACGTTACATTCGTATGAACCGTGGATCTGTCTGCTCGATAAATGCGTATATTGGACCGTTAAGTTATTGTTCGTTTCTGTACGTGATGCCTTAATTTGGGACAAATATTACTATTGCGCGAAAACTAGCTTCAGAAATTTATGTGGCAAGCTGTAATGGTGAAAATGTGGAACTATTTGTGCATAATGAATAGAACGAGAATATAAAAATTCTCGTTTAAATTTAATTTAAAAACATCTAGTTTTTCATTTCTGTACTTGTTGTTCATCTTGCCATTGTGACATTTTTCTCTTTGATCGATCGATGTTTCGAAACAGCACAACACAAATGTCTAAAGATCGCGAAGAACTAGCTCTTTAATCTCCTCGACGTCTTTTAGACTTTGCCTTTTTGACTTTTGCGTTGCTCGATTTTCGGTAACGATGTGCAATAACGCGTAGTAAATAGATAGATATCGAATCGGTAAATCGATAAATCGGTAAATCTTGACGTTTATGCGTATAACATTCGCTGCTTGTGCGACACATACCTACCCTTCATTCATTCCCTCGAAAATAGTTTGAAGCGAAAGACGTTTGAAAGCGAACGAACCGCACCGTATGCAAACAGCTATACACATGTAAATACGAGATACGCTTTGAAAAGTGAGTGCCATTCGCGACGTGATGATTGCTGGGATGGCTTGATTATCAGCAACGTTTGTGTTTACGTAAATCGAAAGCAGGGATTTTAATTCGTTTAATTTAAATTTTAATTAAATCAACGCGTCTTGCGAAAACGGTCACTCGTGTAAATGATTTTCCAAATTATGGTACATGGTTGCTTTCTAAACATGTTTAAATGAAAGTGTGACGAAATGTTAGAGAGCTTTCGACAAAGATGACGCGTTTGGTACCTTTACATGGTTTTTTAAGAGATACTGCCAAAGTAAATTAATTTTTTTAAATCTTTGAAATATTTTAAAATGTCTCGTTCTTACAATCTTACAGTCGAAGAACAAGAATCTGTTCAGGCAAAATATTTTCATTATATTACGAATATTAAATATGTTTCAGTAAGTCATGTGCACACAACATATCCTTGTCAATGGCACAGAATAGATAAGTCACACAGTGCTTAACAAACACACGTACGCGTAGAAAGCGCGCGAAGACGTACGTGTAGCAGGCATTCCTTAAAGTTTAATTTGTAATTCGAGTCCATGGTACCGCGAAAATTCCTGACACTGACGTATGCCCCGATAGCACTTCGTGTTACAAAGCTGTAGGTTGGGATGACACAACGTCAATTTTCCATGCTACAAATGCGGTAAAATGTACCTATATCGATTGTCGCGCGCGCGTTTCTAGCATCATATTATCGATATATAAGTATAGAAATCATTCTGGGGAATTTGTTTAATTTCCAAGTTACATAAAAAATATATCATGCAATTTTAATAAATCTCAAATTCCAAATTATACTGAATACGCGCGCATGTCTTAATCACGACTCATTGAATTTCAATTTTCAATGTATGCATAATGTATATACCCCACTGCGGATATTTGCGTTCTGATGAAAAGAAAAAATAAGCATCGTCAAACAGACGAAGAATATCATTCGGAGACAACGAACATCTCGGCGACAACTTCGACACAAATGACGGCATGCCTCTGATGCCTCAACGAAATTCGTGGTGCTCTTAAGGACGACCCGCATTTACTACGGGTTTGGTTTATCAGAACAATTTGTCACATTGAGAAAAGCGATTGGATGTCTTTTGGCTCGTCAGGTAATTTGTCAGGTAATATGCGTGTAGGTGTGGCATATCAATCTCGAAATTTAGAGTAGCATCAAAAATTCGATCAAAAATTCGATTCTGCAATTCGCAAAATGGACATGAAAGGATTTATCGTAAATTATTATATATATATATATATATATATATATATATATATATTTTTTTTTTTAATGTAGATGTCATGTCATAACTGGAAAAAGCCAAAGATACAAAAATACACAATAATTATTTTAGTCAAAAACTTGCCAACACCATTTGCTGGTAATTGTTTAGTATTCGGTACTAAATGTACCCCCGTACTATTTATTCCTTATGTGGTGAGATAACTTGAAATTTAATCGATAGAGAAATTCAAAAGGATTAGGAATAGTCAAGCAGCAGTTGTGTGTGAGTGAATTGTGAATTGCGAAATTATAAAATGGTTCGACCGTCGAATCCGCGACTCATGGCTCGCGTGCTAGATGCAGTGGCAAATCTTGGCGACACTAAAGGTTCATCAGCTCGCGAAGTTCTCAGTTTTATCCGGCACAGCAACATATCGTCTAAAAATTTGACGCTGCAGGTGAGTATAACATTAACTTTAATTAAAAGGTTCATAGTCTTATTGACATTTTATTGTGTCTCCGTTTCTGCAATCTGTTATAAACATCTTATAAATAGCTATTATAACACAGGTACATCGAGCTTTAAAGCATGCAGTAAATGCTGGACTTTTACGGCATCGGAGTGGTCGTTATAAAACATTGGCTACTTTAAATCCTAATTCTGTCTCTAACCCACCTGTTAGTAAGGAACCGGCTACAAACAATCAGAAAAGTGAAGAGAAAAAATCAAAACCGGATGTGCAAGCACCTATCAGCGACGTGGAATCTTCCCGTCGAACACAAGGGCAAGAGCGCAAGTACGCCGTAATATTTCTATTATACGGACAAATGTATTTGTGGCCTTTTTCAATTGTGTTGTACGTGTAAATTTTATAAATGAGATCTATCGAGATGTATTATAAATGATTGACGTTTACAATCTCTAATGGATTAATAATGATAGACTGCCATCTATCATTATTAAGAAATCTAACATGGTTTTAAAATGCTGAATTTGAAGAGAAAGACGAAAAAATTGAAATGGATTACCGATTACTTATTCTGTTTAATATCTACGAATATAGGAAAAGAACTACGTCACGGCGACGAAATAGTAAACATCGTAGTAGTAAAGGAAGAAGGAAGTCCCGACGATCGCCATATAGACGACCCGATGCCGCTCAGAATCGAAAGGTGCGTCGCAATTAGAGTTATCGGGCGCTACTAAAATAGTTTCGACTGCTTTAACAATAATATTTAATTTTATATAATATACATTTAATATATTTGTGTTTTATTCTGTTACCTTCGTTCTTATATCTCTTAAGAATCACAAGATATTTGTAAAGAGATTCCATCAGTAGTATAAATGCTAGGGTATCGTATTATCCTTACATCTTGAGGTAAAGGAACTTGGGGTGAGTTGTAATAAGAGTCTATTGCGCGACATAATACGTACGAGACTTTAGTAGCTAATGCGAAGAGACGGCAGAATTAAACGTAATTTAACGTAAAGTTTCCAATATTTTCCGCAAAATATAGAAATAAAGAGACTATAAATTGTAAAAAATGTACATTGTAAATTGCAATAAAATAATTGATATTGTATATTATTTTGTAATATATTTAAAAAGTATCGAAAATAATTGTGTTACAATTCGAATCTTTTCTCACACTTTTCTCACATCGCGAATAAAGGTTATTGATATTTAATTAGATAAAACGTACAAAATACAATTTTTATGTTCATGGTGATGATAGCGACGACAGCGAAAGCGCACATACGAGGACGAGGAGTTCGAGGATCCGGATCAATCAATTCGAAGATCCGGACAGTACATCTTGCATGGAAGGGACGATTCGCCCGTACCATTCAACCGTCGAACGAAACGTTCAAGAGTATCCAAGCGAGAGCTCGAGTCCGACTTTTCTGATGAAAGCGATTGCGATAGTGACTGTGACGTGAGCCGGAAGCATATGTCCCGAGGTAATTTTAACCATATTTGAAAAAAATAAGAAAATTTTAATTAAGAATTATGCACTCTATGAGAAAGACTCATGCCTCTACATAATCTCTAAATATTAAATTCTAAACTTTCCAAAATATACATAGTATCACATTTGCCTGACAAAAACAGTAATCAATGTCACTAATGTATATTTGCTTTCTATTTTTTTCACGTAATCATATACAGTAAGAGTAATATATATATATATATATATATATATATATATATATATATATATATA